TTTAGGATTTTGTTATAAATGCTTGAAAGTTTCACTATACTTTTCTGCTAAGGGAGCGACAGCGTTCCGACACTTTGGCTGAAGAAAAAGGAGACATAGGTAAATTGACAATTCAGAAGTATAGAGGTTGGTTTTCTCAGAATTAGAGTCTATTAATTTCGTATAAAGTATATCAGCCAATTTTTTAGAGTTGGTTCAAACCGAAGGAAAACTCAAAGAATTAGTTTCTATTGATGCGAATAACAGGTACTTTTCCGATCTTCCATCTTCACACACCTAACAGTTATTCCACTTTAGTTTATTAGAAGCAGCTCGACTACTTGCTCAACATCGTATTCATCGACTACCAGTTCTCGATCCTGAATCGGGTAGCCCGCTTTTTATCCTCACTCATAAAAGACTACTAAAATTTTTGTGGTGCTTTGTAAGTTTTCAGTGAACCAAATACATTTTAAATGCCTAGCACACGTAGGTTTGGTTATGCGCTTTATAGGGTCAACAATACTCCCAACCGGACTTCCACATCAGAACTGCAAAGGATCTGAATGTAGGCACATGGGTTGGCATTCGTGTGGTACGTTCACATATGTTTCAAATTTAGTGAACAGATTATCTAGCATGAAAAATTCCTTATTTTGCTCCAGCTGTTTCAATCTATCTGGCAGTTTTATAGGTGTTTCCGGACACTCCGTTGACCGACTGTCTTGATATCCTTTTGAATAAAGGTGTCTCAGGGGTTCCTGTTGTCGAACGGGATACGTTTAAGTGAGTTTAGAATCATGCAGCTTATGGGCGATGAGAAAATAAATCCCACTCTGCTTAATTGTCTGTGATACTTTAGAGTTGTTGATATGTACTCTCGCTTTGACGCCGTTGGCATAGCAATGGAAGAAAAAGCAGACAGCTTAGAAGTCACCGTTGAAGAAGCTCTCAAGTTCAAGAACCTAGGCACAGTATGTTAAAATCCAACAATTTAGAGAAACAAGATACTTCAATAGATCTGATTAAATTCCAGAAAGAAAGCGACCGGGTCGTTGCTGTACGAGATACAGATACTCTTTGGAAAGCCATTACGGTACTAGTGGAACGAAATGTTCACCGTCTTTGTGCTGTCAATGAGACGGGCGCCATCGAGGTTAGATCCTTGGGCTTTTCTTTACTTAAGGGGATAAATTTACTATTTTTTGGTGGATCTACTTTTCTTGTGGAAATTTGGAGTTTTAACGGAATTCCGGAATGTGAAGTGAAAGTAGGTGAGACTTACATATTTGAGAGGTTGTAAAGCAAACGTCAAAATGGAGCATGGTCCTCATTTTACCTCGACTTTTCTCACAAACTATTAACTTTTATCTCAGGAGAAAAAAGAACAGATATTGCAGACTCATTGGGCATGGAAAATTATTAGTGGAAAATCAGTTTCTCCGTTTTCGAAACTCCATGTTCGCTATTTGCCATCCAGAAGTCTGCGAAAATAACTTTTTCCTTGCTTTTTTTCACAATTCAAAGCGTTTCTGATGAAAGCCATAGTCATACACTACCTGCCAAACTTTGCTTAAAGCATCAATTTC